ATCCCAAATAGACTCACATTAGGCCACATGAAAGCAACTGAGCCCAAAAATATATTAACCAGTATATAACTGCACTCTCACACAACACGCCTGCAGCAACAGTTAGGACTCCTCCCTCCCTTTTAAAAGCGTTTTTGCTTCTGAGGACATTGTGGTTGTAAAACCACATGCTAGTAGTCTGGCCCCGGTGTGATCAACCAGTTTCTGCGGGAATGTGACGGCGGAACCAGGGCCAGATTAACACTTTGTTGTACCCTGGGCAACAATATTCAAGGGCTCCATCATCACGACCCGAGGATCACCATAATGTGGTCACATACAGAATATTTTACTGTAATATGCAGTAAATATACTCAATACTTGAATGCCTGACAACACGTAACCCGCCCAGAGTAACCTTTGACCCACCTCGTGTGGACTGACCAATGAGGAGAGGGTCTTAACTTGAGGCCCTCTCTTCATTGGTCATTCTGCATGAGACTGACTCTCAACTGACGTTCAGTCGTAGGCAGCGAAGCGTCTCTGTGCAGTGCAAAAGCCCGGGTGGACAGTTTGTTTAATGTAGGGTGACCATATTTCCATTTCCAAACAAGAGGACAGGGGATCTGTGCCTATGACGTCACACTATGGCAACACCACACAAACCATGTTGGGACCCATTTTTTGTAAGAACTAAATTAATATCAGATTCTGCCAATTAAAGGGCTCTAAAACAATTCATATGTAAATATTTTGCATATTTAATGCAAAATCTAATTTTTATGCTTTAGTGCTGCAACAAGGTTTTATTAATAATAAATTTTTATACCTTTTTTTTACTACAGCATCGGTAAGCTTCCTGTGCACAGATTATTAAGGATGCTTGTTTCAGCTGTGAGATTAGACGATAGGATCAATGAAAAAATAAGTTGTCACAAACTCCATGGAAACTTTCAGAGAATCCACAAATAGTGGCTTTCAAATGGTTTTGTTACTTTTTGCAAGTTTAGAAAAGAAGCAGATGAGACAGCATGTCTGATAATTTAGTTTTTCATCTGATAATATTAGAACATGTCAGTAATGTCTGAGGGGCTTTTATAAACACCATATAACTAACACTACTGGAGAGGGTATGAATTACACAGAGGCTTCTGGGGAGCCCAGTTATTGGGGGGGGGGGCATTTTGCCTTGGCCCCCAAAATGTCTTGAAACGGCCCTGGGTGTGTGACTGAGTTTTGAAGGTGATCTGAATTGTATCAGATGTATAAATATGACATGTGTATAACTTATTGTTTTTTACTGGTAAAAACGTGTAGTGGTGATAAATCTACTTACATTTTACTTTTCAACACTTTGTTTTGTTTTCTTGTTTTTATTGAACTATTTTCCTGTCCTGTCTGTCTCTCATCTTCCTGCATCTCCTCTTAATTCTCCAGAAAATCTGTTGCCTGGATTCTTACCTTTTCACCTCATCAGTTACTTTTGAGCAGGTCAAAGGGATCTCCTGACTGAAAAGCGCAGAGCGCGTTTTCGATGCTGCGTGAGGTGACATCACCACAGCACAGGTGATGAGCTCCGCAGTAGCGAGCTTCAGGCACAAATAAGACAGAAAATAGAGAACATGTGCGGACATGAACGATCGTGTGCTAATTATAGTTTTTTGGTTGCGCCACTTTGAGAATGGACCGTGCGCTGGAAGCAGCTGCCTGGATCGCTGTGCAACAATGCGGAACCGGTTCGCAGCAGCGCAAGTCTGCCGGCTCTCCCTCGCGCTGATCTGCGGCTCTCCCTCGCGCTGATCTGCCGGCTCTCCCTCGCGCTGATCTGCGGCTCTCCCTCGCGCTGATCTGACTTGCTCTGGTCTGCGCGCAACGGCGGGCGGGAAGGGGGGGCGCTTTTGGAAGAGTTGTGCGACACAACAAATCGATGACGCAATTCGTTGCCAACGCTTTTAGTAATCGATTTTCATCGAATTTATCGATTCGTTGTTGCAGCCCTAGTTTATAGCAATACATTTAAAAGATGTTGCATCCTTTTTAGCAGATAATTATATCTGGAATTTCTTTGATGTTTTTGTATTTTCACAAGTTGTGTGTGTTGCATTTATTAGCAAGTGTCTGTCTCTTTTGGGCACAAGAGTCCCAAAATAGAGATGCTTTTTGTGTTTTATTTTTTTGTACTGCTGCAGGAGTCAGCAGTACAGTGAATATTATAAGAGGTGCATGTGCTGGTGTACACACAGAGGATAATGAGTGTGAATGCCAGTTAGGATTATGAATTTTATAGTGGTTTATGTATGGTTTCTCCATGTCTAATGTTTGTCAGCCTCACTATAAATTGTTGGTTTGGGCCTTTACTCTGGTCATAGATAGATCCTGTGAAAGTTGGCACTTGATAGTAAAATGCAACACATTTTAACACAGCAAAGCTGTATAAAGAATTACTCATGCTCTTTAAATGTCATTCAGAAGTAGTTCTTGACTAGGAGAATTTTGAGATTAATCTAGGTGCAGGAAGTAACACTACTGCTGAGCATACTTCCTGTAATGCAATGACTGCTTTGTGAAGACATTGTTGGCATTTCTTAAAACTCAGCTGACTTACTCCCAGGTTTTGTAAAAAGAGCTCTGTTCAGCAGAAAAGTGATGACTGTAATAATAACTTAATATGTGAGGCAATCAAGAAAATCTCTGTGACTGCTATCCAACCACTGCTTGTAGTTGATCATTAATAGCCTAATGAATCAGTCTCATCTAACTTTGGACACTTTCTATTTTACTATATTATCATATAAACTTAAAAAAGTAAGGACTCTTCTCCTTCTTGGCATGTTGTCCAAGCGTGGTGCATGTGAGGAACTTATGAGCCATGTGTCTGTGGTGGCTTGAAGGCACAATGGGTGATGTGTCTGGCATTGAGTGTCTCATTTGTGGAGAAATAGTTGGGCTTTGTTGTCTTTGTCAAGACCCAATTTCTTCTGCATTGCCATCCGGCTGGCCGACGTCCACAAGATAACCTAGCCAGGCGCTATCAGAAGTTTAAGACTATGCTCCGATCCAGGGATTCAGACATCATAACATGTAGCTGTTAAATATGCTAACGTGTCACCACAGGAGAGTGAAAATGTCTTCACTTTGGACGTAAATGGTAAATGGCCTGTATTTTATATAGCACCTTGTAGAGTCCTGGAACCCCCAAGGTGCTTTACAACACAATCAGTCATTCACCCATTCACACACACATTCACACGTTGGTGGTGATGAGCTATGATGTAGCCACAGCTGCCCTGTGGCACACTGACAGAGGCAAGGCTGCCGAGCACTGGCGCCACCGGTCCCTCCAACCACCACCAGCAGGCAAGGTGGGTTAAGTGTCTTGCCCAAAGACACGACTGTGACAGACTGAGCAGGGCTCGAACCTGCAACCTTCCAATTACGGGAGCGAGCACTTAACTCCTGTGTCACCGTCGCCCCATTGTATAATGAAGACAGTGCAGTAGCTACTTGTAATGTCTGCATATTGGGCATTTTGCATGATTTAAAAGACAGTTGCATTCAACTCTACTAAACTGATGCACCACCTCAAAAATAAACATCTTTTTGATTTAGCTTTTCCCTTCAGTGGTTGCCACCTACTCAAGTATTTTCATTTTAGATACAGGACATACTGATATGGGCAAAATTACCTTGGTAAGAGTCATTCATTTGGTAACGGTACATTTTCAGTGTCCCGCCCAGCTCTATTTAGGGAGTCGGATGTTGAACAGAAAAACCTCCTCAGTAAAATATAATTTGCGACAGTAAAGTCTTATCTGCCTTGACAGCTCGTTGACACTAATTCCCTAAAATGCCTTTCGATTTTTTAACACATGATCAACACACAGGCTTCCAAACCTTTTGGACATCCTTTAGTTTGATTTAGTTTGAACAATTTTCCCTCCGTAGTTCTGTTTGTCCCGTTCATTGAAAAGTTCTAATCTAAAAGCAGTTCCTCTCTCTCCCCGTCTCTGTCCATGCCGTTGGCGAGCACCTCAGTGGGTCAGACCTGTGGATGAGCTGATCTAATCGCAGCTCAACAAAAGGGAAAGAAATTAGATAAACCTCCAACCTTATTTTAATATCATTGACAAAAAACGCAGCAAAGAATAGTTTTACAGTATCTGCAGTTATTCAGCACTGAAGCAACACTTAACTTCTATTAGCCAAATAACATGAAAAATTCATAAATAAATCAGGAAAGCAGAAATGAATATTATTTGACTGTTTCGGTTTGGCCTGTTTGGTTCAGTCCACTCGTGTACCGTTTCAGTTAATTTTTTCCGTTAAATAATTTTTATTTGCAAAAATGTAAATAAACACGCCTGCTGAACTTTTCCCCTGGGACAATTGATGTAAAGTTCTCATCCTACAACGAAAAATACGGCACGGAGGAAGTTCGTTATTTAATACGAGTTTTAAAGAAGACACTCTGGGTGGTGTGACGTGAGTTTTTAAGACTTGCTGCAGAAATAAAAACACGGAGCATCAACAGTCAAACACAACACTTTTCTATATGAGCGTGATGCTCATAGCTGTGCAAATAACCTGTGAAATAATTAAAGACATCATGCTAGATCAGCAGCCTGTGATGACACCTGGTACTGCGCACTATAGGAGCCGCTTCAGATATTAATTAATTAAATAATTATAATAATAATATACCGAAAATAAATTGAACCGTGCCCTTCAAAACACTGAACCAAATATGTTTTTAGCATACCGTTACACCCCTACTCAGAATATATTGTGATATAAGTTTTAGGCCATATTGCCCATTCCTAAATGCTTCAATCTGTTGGACAAGTGTGCACATACATTGATGAAATAATCAGTGAATGAATGACTCAACTCCTTTTTTAGCAACAGGTTTGTTTTGTGTAATGATGATAATTACAAACATTGTCAACATTCAGAGGATGTTTTAACATTAAGCTATTATGAAAGCTGTTATGGTTACATAATTTGACTCTTGTCTCTTGCAGCTCTCCAGTGTGTGAATGATAAGGCACCTTGTGTGAACAACGCTACATGTTTAACCTTTACCAACGGAACAGAATACTGCAGGTAAGATCTGCTTAGTTGACACATGTCCTAACACAAGTTTAAGTAGCACACACGTATTAATACAGAGGTACAGGAACATAATTGGTAGCTGGAATTAAAGCCAGAGCAGAAAAATGTTTTTTATATCAGCTTCAGCCTCATCACAGGATCATGAAGTTTGCTTGGTCACAAAAGAGAGAATAAAAGGCTGCTTTGTTTTACAAAGAACATGAGTATTAGAGGCAAAGCCAACACACATATTTCTATCGTTAAGATTTTTTCCCAACAATATTTTAGAGGTTTGTTGGTAATTTTTTGGCGTAGAATATTAACTTGAGGCCTTGCAAACATATTTTACTGCCCACAAATTTGTTGCTAGTGAAAATATAACAGTGAAGGAGCATGTTTCACTTTAAGAAAATAAACTGTGCATTCTCTCATTGTTAACAAATTTTAGTATAAACATTAGTCCTCTTTGAAATGCCAAGTTTTTGTCAGCAAATAGCTTAAAATAACTTGTATTTCTCTCTCTCTTTTTTTTAAAGAAATTGGCCATAACGTAAAGGAGTATGCTGTGGCTTCCTCCTTCTGACAGTTTAGCCTACTTTATAATTACGTCTGAGCTATCCTTTTAATTGCATTGCCACTCCCTAGCCAAATTCCCAGCAAAAATGCACCGTAGCTGGTTCATGAACCTGATCATGTTTCATCATGTGATGAGAATTCTGCAATGTGTCTGTTCCCAGAGTTTTTGGAATTTCAACACTTGGCTGCCACTGTAAAAGTGAAAAGAAAACCTTCCATTCTTAATCAGTATTTTACATTTTCTCTAGCTAATTGAAGGTCAAGTAAATTTTTAACTGCAGGTGCAAAGATGCTTGCTGTCAGTTTGCAGTGCATGTCTGTGAGAATGTTTTTGTGAGAAACAATCTTTTTGTTTTAAGTAAGCTTTTATTGTTATCAATATAGACTACCCAAAAATTAAGAAGAGAGTTACAGTGTTAGAACGAAGTAGTATTTAAGCCAGTGTTGTATCTGAAACTAATACTCAAACTTGCTGTTATTGAAAGCCTTCACCACATCCTCCTGGGCAGTTTTTAGAATCTACTGATGACAGTCGTAGGATATATTTCATGTAACAGTTTTACATCACACACACACACACACACACACACACACACACACACACACACACACACACACACATTCACACACGCACACGCACACACACACACACACACACTTAGAAGACTAGTTACCCTGAGGACATACAGAGAAAAGTTCCTCAGTGTAACAAGTCAGCTGACATTAATCAGGCTCACTGTAAAACTGATTAAGTAGTCAGTTTTTCATGAACACTTACACAATACTACATGTTTACTGTATGTGTACACGCTTGTCGCTACTCAGTATATCCAATTCATTTGCACTGAGTTACTGGTCAAAATGTACTTTGTGCAGAAAATTGAATAATCTCTTCAGAGTATATTAATATCATTGTGGCCATTGGACAACAACCAGTTATCATGCTTGGGGTTGGATTGGGTAATTTTACCATTAAATAGGTTAATAATATTTAATAGTAAATTTCAGAAGTGTACAAAACTATTAAATTGTAAAAAAAAAAAAATAGAACTGTTTGAATTGGGAAAATGTGCAGCATTATTAATATTTTGTGCTTTTTTAATCTGAATTAACATGAACACTAACACTGAGAAATTATTTGAAGCCACAGTAATGATGTATGGAACTCTGTAACTACACTTAAAAGCTGAGTTAAAGTCCCATTAGTTGTCACACACACTGATGTGTGTGTGCAAAAATTTTTCCCCGCTTTTGACCCATCCCCTGGAGGAGCGGTGAGCTGCAGACACGCCGCACTCGGGAACCATTTGGAGGTTTAACTCCCTCTATCCAACCCCTTAATGCTGAGTGTCAAGCAGGGATGTATTGGGTTCCATTTTTTTCTCAGTCTTTGGTATGAACCATGATCTCACAGTCTCAGGGCGGACACTCGTACCACTAGGCCACTGAGCTTGTGGGGATGCCAGAGGGTGAAAATGGAAAAAATGGTAAATGTCTATTATATAGCGCCTTCTAATGTTTTACAACCCCCAAAGGTGCTTTGCAGCTAACCAGTCATTTACCCATTCACACACACATTCACACACTGGTGGTGATGAGCTCCATTGATCTTTTGAGTCACTCAACCACATTTTCCTCGCTAATGATTTGTTGGTTTAATGGGGAAAATTCTATGCGTTTGCCATAACACCGCTTGATCTAAGATGGGTTGAAATATAATATATTGGTGTGGCTGCTGGGTAACAAAACTAGAGCTACATATCTGACCAAGGATAGTGGAGGTTATCAAGCTTTGCTGTTCCACCGCAGTCAAAGCTCCACGAGTCCGCCGCTGTCGATGGTGCCGGCTCCGGGAGAGTGTACTTGGCTCCCGGCTCCGAGTCGACACTCCCGTCTCTGGCCCGGAGCGCAAAACGGAGCTGGTAGTCAAGCCGATGCTCCCAGAGTCAGAACATTGACATCTCCACCTCTTTTCCCATTTTTGGATTGTCTAGGCATGACAAGACGTGTGACACGTTCAAATGGCGGTAGTGGGAACCTCCCAATTTAAATCAAAACTTATGATTCGAGCTTATGGACATTACTTGTCCATTATATATGTTGACGGAGTTAACACTTGAAGTTAGCTTTGGATCACCTTAGCAGGCGTGTAAAACGTAATATAAATAAACTTGATTGATTGACTCAACGTTTTTATTTATTTATTTATTTTTTTCTACTGTTGCATTTCTAGGTTTTTGAACTTGCTATCTGTGTATGACAATGTATGCATCTGGCATGGACTCTTCGTTGGTTTCAGTTGCAGAATGCATGTAGCAACACAAAAGGAAAAATCCTCTTGTGGAACAAGTTCAGGTATATTGTTTTGTATGCAAGGAATTCTCCAGAGAAACTGTTCACAGGATAAATTAGTTGACTGCTTTACAGGGCAGGGTGCAAAAAAAGCTGCCTGACTCAACAAACCATTGAATTTATGTGTGAGAATTGTGAGTTTTTTTAAATATTGCTGAAGATATGTGAATGTCAGCTTGCATGGTAGGTTTTTGTAACTTGCATCACAGCTGATTGAGTTCAGTGCAAACTATCCTGAACCTTTGACCTTGTTCTGTGGGCCACAAAAGCTTACCAATAGTCATATGGAGTTTGAATTGCTGTTCAGTAAATGTTTTTTACTTGTCAGTCAATAAGAGTATGGAGCTATTTAAGGTTGATTTATACTTCTTCCTCAACTCGAGTGTGGAGGGAGATGTTTTCACTTGGGACTTCTCCGTCACCTGGGGAGTGTTGCAAAGCAATTCCTCGCTAGGACAACAGAGGGCTTAGCGCTTTTCTGTGGTACCATTACAGCTATGTATCTGGTCCATGAAAGTGTATTTACTATTGTGCTTATATTCTGTTTATGTATTTAAGAGACTTTTTAACACAAATGTATTTGTCCCTCATTTTCATCCACCTTGGGATGAGAATGAGGACAGCAGTAGCCCAGAAGGCAGAGCGGGTTGTCCAGTAATCTGAAGGTTGCAGGTTTGATCCTGGCGTTGACCAGAGGATGCTGTTGTTGTGTCCTTGGGCAAGACACTTAACCTGCCTTGCCTGCTGGTGGTGATCAGAGGGACCGGTGGCGCCAGTGTTCGGCAGACCTCGCGTCTGTCAGTGTGCCCCAGGTCAGCTGTAGCTACACTCTAGCTCATCCCTGCCAGTGTGTGAACTGGTGGATGACTCACTGTGTTGTTAAGCACCTAGGGGAGTTGTAGAACCCTAAGAAGGCACAAGACCGGTCAACAGCACCGGCCAGCACAGGCCAATTACCATTTACCTCTTCATGAGGTCGGCACCTCTGAACCCACTTTTTATGTAATTTCTGTCCACAAATAAAATGCTTGCTGTGTATCATTGTCACGGGTGTGTAAACGTGAGACGTTCTTTAATTTGTTCCATGTCTGCCACTAAATATCTTTGGCTCTCTTTTCATTTATTGAAAGGTAATGACGGTGCTGTTGACAACGTTAAAGGAAGCAGCGTCCTGACTGATCACAAGCTGGTGGTCTGTGCCACTTTTGACTTTTGTCTGTGGGCCTCTTGTAGAGCCCTTGCAGTAGCGCATAATGGCGTTGCGTGTCTCCGTACCCCTGCAGACGGAGAAGTATACATTAGGCTTTGCACCATCTTTTTGTCTTCTGCTGATCTTTGGTTCAAATTGATTACTTGAGCCTTCTTTCAATTTCCTCCCTTGTGTTTGTTTGGAGCTGTTTTGTCCCTTTTAGCTTCAGAATGATGGCAAAGGGTTACTATGTTGTGTAGACATGCAGCCTGTTTGATCTGCCAGGAAGAAATAACCTACAGGGCAGACAGAGGAAGAGAGAGGGGCAAAACAAAAGAGGATGTTTCTTTTCAGGTAATTTGAGGAGGAATGCCTCCGAGCACAACTCCTTACTAATGATGAGAGAGCAGCAACGAGGGGGGAAGGGTGACTTGGGGAGAGAGGAGTGTAATTTCCCTCTTGCTACATCTCCTTCATCAAACTGTCACTCATCCATCCATGTGTTGGTCCCTCCTTCTGCTTTAGGGATTTAAATGCCTCTGGCCGCTGCTCACCTGGCCTCACAATACTATTTCTTCATCTCAACTATGCAATGTGTTTTCCTTTACTTTAGTTTTCATTAGTGCTTGGCTGTTGGAACTTTTGTTAAGGATTTTTTTATTTAGGTTTACTGCTCTATAACAGATGACTTTTGTACATTTTAACATTTGCAACTCCGACTCAAACATCTTTATATTTCAAATGGGCATAAGAGTTTACCAGTTGAGCTAGACAGTTTCATTGGCACACACAATCACAAAGATTAGAACTCAACTGAGTAGATAATCTTAACTGAAGTCAACATAACTGAAATAGATTGTAATCCTAAACAGCGATTTCCAAGTCTTAAACTAAG